TAAAAATAATAATAAGACTCATCATCCTCAAAGAAAAAGTCTGCTGGGCCTATTTTTTGGCTGGATGGTACAGTCAAGGATTTATGGAGAACCCAGGCGCAGATGCTAATGCGGACGAGACTAGAGAATCAGTGAAGAAAGTGTTTGACAATTGCTGAAATGCATGATGGATACCATGTACAAGGATCAAGGAACAGACAACCAAACTATCCAGGGCAGTGAACTGAGGAGGGGTAACAGGCAAACTAACTAAACAAAAGGCTGGTTCATTCTAGGGAAGTGAATACTGAAATCCAAGATACAAAACTCTGAGGACACAGGCAAAGAACACTGAACACACGAGTCAATGATCACAAACACACAGAGCTACAAATATACTGGGGAAAACATGAGACATCAGTTATAGATAAAGCTAGGAGACATGACTAAAAGCTTACCAGGAACAGAGTTACTAGGAATAACACTAAGGAAATTACAAGTTTAGAAATAGATATATATGGATAGAAACATGGACATAATGATCAGTAATATCCCATGTCTGATTTTTTTTCCCCCAGAGAAAACGTGTCCTGCAGGATGGAGCATGTTCACTTCTACATGTTATCTTCTCTCTCAAGAGTCTGGTTCCTGGGATGAAGGCAGGAAGGACTGTAAAGGCCAAGGAGCAGATCTGGTGGTGATAAACAGTCCTGAAGAACAGGTACAGTGTGTTTTAGTGTGTTTGCAAATGAATGTCAAAGCCACTTGAAAACTAGCAACAAGGTCACCAAACTACAGGGGGGTTAATACTCAGTAACTATTTCACGTATGAACTCAGAACTTGGTGTATGGACCGAAAAATGTATTTGAGCCCTGGTGAGGGCTACAATAAGCAGAAACATTATTTTTCTATCAGTGCCTACAGCCACACTTTTATTACAATCAGATCAAGTTGCCATGGCACCTATGGCCTGCTAAGCTAGTTCATTTTAATTAGAGGAGTTTTATTAAGATTTCTGAACAGATTTGTTCAGATAGAATTAGTGAACTGCACATACGATATTGTGCTTAAGAGCTAAAATGTGCTTTTCTTCTTGTTGAACAGACCTTTCTCTCTATGTTTAAAAGAGGACACACTTGGATTGGTTTGAATGACAAAGAAAAAGAGGGCACCTGGACATGGGTAGATGGAACTCCTCTGACTCTGAGGTAAATCTTTACTTTGGTTCAGCATTAATTAATTCACATACACAACTATTGTTTTTTTTATCACTACAATTTATCAGTTATTGAACTTCCAGCAAGTGTTTCTCACAATCATAACAGAAATAACCTCATTGGTGAACTTACACAACAGTGGATGAAGTCATGCTACCTGGGCTAAATCTTAAAAATGTACTTTCTTGTTTTTCTGTGATATAAGGGGAAGTAACTCCTCCTAAACTGACATCATATTTGACATGTTATCATCTAGTACGCATTTTATGATAAAGAGCTGCAGTGTTGAGTCATAATTCTCAGTGGATTCATCATCCAAAGCAGATGATTTTAAACATACATAGTCATTGGTACTATAAAAATATTAGGAAACAAGACATTTCATGGTCCCATTAAAACCATCTGTTCTTGCTTGTGTTTGTGTTTCTATTCTGATTCCTTTGTCAAAAATAAACAGTGTAATAATTCTGTTGTTCACTGATCTGCCAGTTATTGGAGGAACAACCAGCCTGACAACGGTGGTGGACATCCACAGCTCGGTGAAGAGGACTGTGCACATTTCAGACATGAGATTGGTTACTGGAATGATATTTCATGTACAACTTCTCTGCAGTGGATCTGTGAAAAACAACCATAACTATGCTGCACTATTTGTCTGAGGATTATATATATCTGAAGTCATCTGTTTAAATACTTTTCAGTTTTAGCTAAGCTTGTCATTTCATCCTGTAGCTCACAAAATCACTGCATTAAGATAACAAATCACAATAAAAAAAATTCTAGATGCCGTTCCTGAATGAAGTGTTCACAGTGATGTTTTTTTTTTCATTCATCCAGGGAAGGGAATCTGTTTCGGTTCATATCACTTTACAGAATTTAGCTTGTAAGGTGACATTCATGTCGGTAGAACTGTTATTGGGCCTTGCTCTGACAGACAAACTCATCTATGTATTGCAACACTATTTAGCCAGTACACTGTTATGATTATTGATCATTCCATCTCAAATCATCAGAGCCTTCTGCTTGATTTGCTTGGAATGTTTTTGTCCTAAATCATAGATACTTAAAATGTTATCTGTGACATTTTACCTTAATATATGAAATACTTTCCATGATATCAGTTGATTTGAGATGAAATTACCCTCTTGACTCTTGAAAATCAAACAGTTTCTTTTCATTGAGGAAGTGATATAAAGACTTCAAAAGAGCTGACAAAAATCACTAGAGTTAAGAAAGACTCCACAAAGGTGTGGTTAGCAAGTGCCTAATTCTTTTGTCACTGCCAAGAAGAGACAACAGAAAATAAGATGGTGTTAAAAGTGATACTTCCTCTTTTTAAAATCATTGTAGAAGCTTGTGTATGAGTGAGTGTATTTTTGTACTTGTATGGCTGTCTGTGTGAAGACGGTGCTTGAATTTCAGACCTTGCATATACTGAATATATAAGTATGTATACTTGTGTGTAAATATGTCTGCCTGTCTGTGCATTATTTATTTATTTTTTTAAAATTTACGAAATCATCGTTCTAACTCGAGTAAAAACAAAGATTTTCCTCTTTGCTTCCTTCAAGAACCTGTGTTGATATTCAGAGGCTGTATATTGCAATAATTAAGTTCACTTCACTTTTATTTGTTAAGTCATCTTAAGGCACTTCACATAGTAATCAAGTGAAGTCCATGTTGTTTATATCAGGGGTTCTCAACCGGTCTCACCCTCGGACTCCACATTTTTCCATGGTCATTAAGTCGCAACCCAATTTTTTTTAGAATTCAATGTGCAATATATTTTCCTGTGCAACATGCATCTCAGAGCATATAGCCATGCATAGTAACTGGACCATGACAACTGCATGTACAAAAAGTACACAAAATAAAAAAGCCACAAAACAACATGTTTTCACTCCATTTTGAGCAAATTAATAAGAAACTAAGGAGGACCGTGACAACTGCGTGTACAAAACTGAATAAAATAAATGTCAAAACTACTCAAAAATAAAGTTTTGGCCTAATCAGGTCATTTGCTGAAGTCAATGAGACAGCTGGGCACGTGCTCTACTCTTGATTAGAGTTTCAGAGTCTGGGGTGACAGTAGACAGAGCTACTCTCAGATCATGCTCAGTGTTCATCCTGTGTCTCTGCTGTGACCTGAGCTGGACCAAGGTAGAGAAAACACTGTCACACAAACAGGTTGAGCTGAATGGTGAGAAGGAGGAGGAGGAGGAGGAGGAGGAGGAGGAGGTGGGAGGAATATTTGGAGATCAAAATTGATATCCCGATTTCAGCACAGCAAACGAATAGGTAGCTTTTCGGGTCCAGCCCTAGTATGAAAATCCACATTTTCAATACTCCGGGTCATATTTGCGCTTTGCCATCTTGCATCCCAACATTAACACAAACTTAAAATGAACGTCAAACAAACGATGGTTGCCATGCCTGTCAAAATAAAAGTTTTTTCAAAATAAAAATAAGTCCAACCTGAGACGCACATTATATATTATTTAATTTTGACCAGCTGTCCGCGACCCACCCAGAACAGGCCATATTGTATTTGTCTTATTGTCAACACATCGCACAGAAAGATCAAAACCAACGATGCGTTTTTAAACATTTTCTGACCTCTTCTGTTGGCAGCAGAAAGCTCAATGTTTACCTTGGATTACCGCTACCATGAACAAGCTATAATGCAGGTAAAACACTTTCTTATTATCGATGTATTTAATCGTTTCAGGACACCACAACAACGGAGAGAAACAAGATATACACTTTTGGGTCACGACCCACTAGTTGAGAACCCCTGATTTATATAGTAGTGCATTTAAAACAACAGACGTTGAGCCAACGTGCTTCCTCATCGAGACATAAGACTTAAATTTACAAATGAAGATGGACAGTAATACAGATTCTCAGCTGAAAGAATACATTATATCTGCAAACCTGTTGAGCGGTGTGTGTGAAAACCACTGTAAACAAAGATATGCAGTTATAATAGATAAACCTTATGTGTTGCATCGTCTTAACAACTTGAATGCACACAGCTGTGGATGTCAAAATTCTCATGTTGGTGTGATAGGATCAAACGGATTCTCTTTCCTTGTGTTCCATTGAAAACAAACTTGGCCTTCAAGACCAGTGTCAATAGCTGGGCTCTGTGAAAGCACACAGGTCTATCCATCCATCTAATCTTCACTATGGTCGCGGGGGGGCTGGAGCCTATCCCAGCTGACTTAGGGCGAAGGCAGGGGACACCCTGGACAGGTCGCCAGTCTATCCCAGGGCTACACTTAGAGACAGGCAACCAAGCACACTCACATTCACACCTATGGACAATTTAGAATCACCAATTAACCTCAACATATTTTTGCCCTGCTTATCGCCGCCTCCCCTAGGAGAGAGCCTGGTGGTCTCCTCTGCACCCAGCCTTCAAAACGTGTGCCACACATTTAATGTCTTTACATTTGATGCAAAATGTCCCAATTAAAATCAGTTGGAGAGGAAGCAGTTGTATTTTTTGTTTTGTTGTTATTTTGTTCAATTTTAATGATACAAAACAGCTCAGAAAAGAAACTGCTTATGAGGTAACTACCGGAGATTTCACTCAGCCGTACATGAGTGAGCATGCGCGTCTACTTCCGAAACACAGCGTTTGCTATGGGGATTGGTGGTGTGACGGCCCCACCTAGTCTGTTGGTTGGGCACACTGGCTGTCTGTGTTTGGCTCTGTTTCCTCAGGTTCCTATACTGCTGGAGTGGGCGGTCTTACCTGCGTGGCGCGCTTGGGCAGCGCTCCCAGGCTACAAAAGGGCCAATACCTTAGCTCCTACTCCCTCTCCTCCTCATGCTTGCGACTTTGGTTTGTGGCATTTTGGTTTGGTTTTCACATCAGACAACGCTTCGCCCCACATTGCATCCCGGCATCCAGACATCCGCACCCACACTACTGACATCACTGACATACACACCTCACTTCAAAAGTATTAATTTATCTAGTTAATAAAAGCTTATATTGAAATCTGGCAATACCTGTGTCGTCTCCCCTCTTTTGCCACAACCTATTTGCCGAGTTGTGACAAAGTAGGGGCTCGTCCGATTTTGATTGTGACACTCAGATTGGAGCATGAACACGAGGTAAATTTGTTTGGCGCACTGCACGCTCTTTGTTCCAGGGGTTTACTCAGTGGTACACGTTAGTGTTCATTTCACGTGAAACTGAGTGGGAAGACACAGTGTTCTGAGTTGACGTAAGTAGGCTGATATTTGTTGTAAGTGTTATTCATACTTTGTTTCTTTGTTGGTTTTACCTTGAGGCAGAGAAGGAGAGCTTTGTTTATTTCCGGCTGTGGGTGATCTGTGCCGGCATCAGGAGGACCAGCAGCGGTGTCAGCGGTTAGGAGTGTTTCCAGTGTTGTCAGTTAGTAGCAGTGTTCCCCTTTGGGTTCGTCTGTGTTTGGGTTAGTGTTGTGGCCAACGTGGCTGGAGCTTTGCTCGGGATCACATCCGTGGCTTTGGGAGGGTTGCTGGCGTGCTAGTCGCTCTGCCACCCATCGGGCGAAAGTGTATAAGTACCCACCACCAGTAGCTGCATGAAGACTAGGAGGCAGCTTAGCTAGCGGGGCCCAAATATCCAGTTAGTGGGAAAACTCCGAACCTGCTGCAGGTTAGTCCTTGCCCTAGCTGTTTTTCAACTGGTCCAGATCTGGTGTATAATTGTTTGTTTTCTCACCTATCCTTCGATTGTGTGTTTTGACTAATATGTGAGAATGGCCGATGTGGATTTGTTTATTGTCGCTCCATTGGAAGACACTTTAAAAAAACTAAAAAAAAGAACAGCTGCTCAGACTGGCAGAACACTATGAGGTGGATGTTCCAGAAAAAAGCCGTACAGATGACATTAAAGCTGCACTGAGATCCAGACTCGTTGAACAAGGTTTTATCTGTCAGGATGAGCAGGTTCAGGGAGCAGCTACAGAGCCGTTCAAGTTCTCTGACTGACATTTGAACAGCAAAAGGAATTGTTATTGTTACAGTTGGAGCACGAAAGGACAAAACATGAATCAGAAATTAGAAAAGACATTGAAATTGAGAAAATCCAGCTGCAGATTGAAAGAGTGCGCATTTGCTCCGCCTGAACCGGACGTGTTGGCCGCATATGTGCCGTTTATTCGAGACGGTTTTGTATCATTGGTAGGTAGCAAAGATAAGGTTCCCATAAAAATTTTGAGGGATACAGGGGCTTATGACTACTACATAGTGGGTTCTGTTTTGCCTTTAACTACTTCTAGTCGCTCTGGTGACTGTATCCTCAGCCATGGAATGGGGCTGACTGTTCTACCTATTCCTTTGCATAGGATAGTTCTCCAGTGTGAGCTGGTGCAGGGCGAGGTGGCGGTAGGTGTGCATCCTGCGCTGCCTATAGAAGGAGTCCATTTTGTATTGGCTAATGGTTTGGCCGGCAGTCAGGTCTGGACTTGTGAGCCACCCTCCTCTGCTGCCCACAGTTCGGCTGTGTTCAGCGAAGGCTGTGGTTGTGTAAGGTGTCTTCAACCGGCGCACCTGTTGTTTCACCGTATCCACTTGAGTTGGCTGGGAGCTCCGGTGGGTCACCGGAGGCGTTCTCAGCTGTGGCAACGCATGCCATGAGTAAGACCCAGTGGAAGAGGGAGAAATTAAGAGCGTCCCAAAATAGGAAAAAAACCCATTCTGACAGTCATGCCTCTGACGGCTGGGTAGA